TGTGCTATTTGAAACGTGGCAACTCGAACTGGTGCACTTCGGTGCCAAGTTCTATATTGAATCCAGACAGACAAGCCATCGCTTGAGTGGAATCCGAAAGGAAAGCGGCGAGTTGGTCGTCAATGTGAGGGTGACTTGAAGGGAGGTTGTGGAGTACGTAACAATGTGGTTGTACACTTTTTGGTTATTTGTATAAATTCGAGATATTGTACATAATTTTTGTTTAAAACGCTTCTTGTTGAAATATATATAACTTCCGTGTACAATTGAAAATACACTCTGCTGTTGGAGACTTCGTCTTCTCCCTGGTCACTTCTGCTTACTTGCTCCACTCACACCGTGTTTTATACTTCGGATTTATTGTAGGAGTCTACTACTCTCAACCGAAGACATTTCTACAACCGGAACACAGCAGCTACAGCAGACGCTACCCAAACGGTTAACGTACCCGTGGATTATATAAATAGTTTGTAGCGGAGGACTTAAACTTTATATCGAAGTAATCCTTTTTGTTGATATAACTCGTCATTGCATTTTTGGTAATATATTGTTATTTAACATTTCATTGACTTGAATTATATTTCTCATATTTGTAATATTAGTGAACTCTAGCATAAGTCCCCTACAAGGTCATGTAAAGAGGAGATGAAAACATGTGGGAGACTTGGAGCCAGGTGAAAACTTTAGCAGAGTACCGAATGAAATGAAGACGCGCGGCTGAAGCCCTATGTTCCTCTAGGAATTAAAAGGATATAATAATAATAAATCAAACAATAGAGATTATAATTAACATCTTTCTTTTTCTATAGTACAGAAGAACTTTTCAACTCTATTTGTGATATGAACAATTAACCAATCTGTAAACACAGACGATAATAAATACCTACACATAGACTATATGCAATTCTATGACTGTAAGTAATAAGTATTACCAACGTATCTATTTATCATCTTATACTAACCAATTAACAGTGTAGGAACAAATACACAAACTATGTAGCAATGACCTACTTACTTACTTACTTACTTACTAATACGTGGTCTCCTATGTACGTAGTCTGACTAACAAAAAAACAACAACAACACCATTAATAATAACATAAGGTCAGTTTTGTAATATATAAGCGCATGTTGTGCGCTAAATTGATCAGGCGACTTTGGTTAGCGCTTAGCAGTACAGTACAGTGGTAGAAAGATGGACTAACTAATTTAACGAAGTAACAACAGTTGGGACATTGAACAGTATTATAATATATATATATATATATATATAAAGTGAAACATTAAAGAGAGGTGTGAAATGTAGTTTGAAATGTAGACCTCATACACCATAGAGAAAAACAAGCTATCATAAAATAGAGAATGATTCATCACTGCTTTAACTTATCAGAATGCATATCCCCATACATTACCAACACATGGTCAAAGTGGAACTGTACACGCGCAGGCGAGCGCACACACACACACACACAAACACGTGTACAGGTCTATAACCTATAAAAAGTTGTTCGAATATTTACTATCTTTTGCTTATTTAGGACTATATCACTTTTGGATCGATAGGCATGATGAGACAGGCAGAGAAAGAGAGAGGTCGAAATAAAGTCGAATATAAACAACAAAAACGGATGAGAATAAAAGCAATCGCGAGACGTTTACGTGGTATAGTATAGCAAAAACCACAACAAATATTTCAGTTGCCTAAAGAAAAGCTTATTAAAACACGTAAAATATCACAATAATTACAGGGTTCTTCTACGTCTGTAAGTAATACAAAGGAGCAACTACCTGGGAAAAATTTAAACCTTAACTAGCTAGCCACTTCCGTTCGTGATAATTCAAGTAGACTAAGACGGAAGCGCGCCTCAAGATTCTATATTTTTTTTGGCAATAACTAATATTCAAGTGTTGGTTTGTAGGGATTTGATTGGTTACAGGATTTCATCATGAGCTGACATTAGTTAGAGAACCATTGGAAAACCTGGGAGTACTGGACAACTGTTTCCTCCGTCCTATTTTGGGACTCTTCAGCAGTACGCACCCACCGGGATTCGAACCCAGGACGTTCCGGTTACAAGGCGAGCTCGTATTGTACAGGTAGAATGGTTGGCCCCGAGAAGATGAGTAATTTAGAAAAAAGGTCAGCAACTGCATTACACTGCATGCATTAACACACAACCACACAATAGGGTGGGTGGGAGACGGTTAAAATTCTAAGAAGTAATCTAGGTAGATGGAGAGAGAGAGAGAAACAGGTTGATTACTGAATCCTTGTTTATCGAATTTACACCCAGCATGCGCAATAGGAATGACTCATCACTCATACTGGAGATATAGAAAATACTACTACGAATCAAGTCAAGTGATGAAAAATAATGGGATTGTATAAACGAGGTTAGAAAGTCGTGTGAATATTGGCTTGATATGATTATGAGCAGTAGTAATAAATTGTGCTCGAAACGTGATAATCATTGGTAAATATTACTGTATAACAACACTGTGAGATTTATTCAAAATAGATTTTACCCATATTTGAATTATACCCTATCACAGTGCACAATTTTCATTCTTGTATCAAGGTTTTTGGTTGACCAACCTTAACTCTTTTTCTGCCTTATGTCATCTAATATCCCCCGTCTAGGAAGGCGTGGGATAGGCATGTGCAACACGTTACTACAAGGCTGAGGAGGTTGTCAAAATCATAGTTGGAAAGACAAGACAGACTTTCATCGTATTAGGTAGGTTTTTTATATAGAGCTCACAGTGACGTATTACTCACTCATATAAACTTATCTAATATGGAATTATATCTTACCACACTGCTCAAGTTCTACACATGCATTAAAAAATCTTCATTACTGTGAAATCAGTTTGGAAATCTGCTGTACTCAACAGTTGTATGCAGAACAAAAAATTCAGATTACCAACACTAATGTTATAATTTAATCAGTTCTTCTACATGTGTTGGGAATTCGGTGCGCGTCACGCATAGCGCTTTGAACAGACCACTGCAGACTTTTACAAGCAATTGCCTTCGCTAACTGCATACTGAAGATCAAATGACGGACCAGGAAAGATAAACAACATGTAACTCCGAAGTACGATGAATCAACCAAGAATCTATTGGCCAAGAAATACACAGAAGGAAATGGAGAGATTGGTTGGATGTATGCTGAGGTGATCGGCGAGTGACATCTCGCTTCAAACCATCGATAGAGTGGAACTCGAATGTCAGACGGCAAGCTGGGTGTGTGCTCAAGGACACAATATGGAGGAGATCATGTGAGTAGGGGGATGAGAGTTTATGGGTAATTATAGAGCCCGATGAAGACTGCAGAGAGTAGTATAGAATGAAGATGCCCTGTTTAAGTTCTGCTTTTCCATATTTTCTAATTCTTTGAGGGGTACTGCATCATAAAATTACAACTAAATATAAAAGACACATGAAAATATAAGTCTGAACTCATACAACAAGACTGTTGCAACTTAAATAAAACAAAATTAAACTGAAGAAGAATTTAAACTAGATTACCGACCTAGCTCCTTGTTAACCGACTATCTGGAGCGTTAAGGACAAGATCATCACGGAAAAATGATTATATGCAGTTCATTCCCCCCACCCATATTCTATTTTCCTACACAGCTGGGCCTCTGTAAAAAGAGACGTTAAGACTATGTAGGAAAATAAGCAGATGCTGAAAAGCTCCCTCAGCCAGAAGCACATAAAACCCCAAAGCACGCCTAACTCGGATCTACAGCAAAGTAAGAAAATCACGATCTTGATCACGACCAATGAGATATCGCGAAAAAAGTTGAAAACTCAGACCTACAAAAACAACAAAATTTCGCCTAGTAAATCATTGGTCGACACAGACCGAGTCAAAAAGCACACACTCAACGTTCGTCAATCTGAACCGGTAAGTTACGTAATACGACAACCGTATTATCACTCGGAAGTAAATAAGTTAGTGGCTGAAAAAACTGAGGTAGGAATAAAAGCGATGAGTTTTACAGTCACGTTACTCTCAAAATGGTAGAAACACTCCTTCAGAGCTTTAGGTCCTAAAACCAACTTTCGGTTTTTCTGAAGTCGAACAGACGATGCAAGAATACAGACTCTTTATTAATAAAAATTAATAATAATGGCCTTATTCCAAACAGTACTTTTGGTACAAATATGGAATTTTCAGCATGTAGTACAGTATTGCATTTAATATTCTCATTACAGGGGTGATAATTAAAACAGGGTATTTACATTGATAAAATATTTTCCAATAAGAAAATGAATAAAAATACTAAGTCGAAATATTAACATCAATGTAACAATGGGAAAAATGGGGCGATTGACTTATAGTTCCACAGTAAGTTAGTAATTTCCTGACTTACACTTTTCTCATGACATAAAACGTGTGCCCGCCAAATAAGGTATTGCAGTGTTTTTTAGTACTTAGTTGTCCGAGCTTAAAGCCTTCAATAGTTGCTTCTAGTTTCCCTAGCCGATAAGATCCAGCAAGGAGAGAGTTGTGTATGGAGAGGATGTTCAGAGACTAACAAGATTATGTTTGCTAATTTCTTGCATGATTCCGTGTGTACGTATACCCTAGCTAGTTGGAAATTAATTACGCGGAACAGGTTTTCAAAGTGCCAAACCACGAGTCACAATTAATATGTCAAGGTTGATGATACCACTCACCTGACTGGGCTAAAGTAGGCAGGTGTAGTGGGATCCTAACCCAGAACCCAGTGGTTGAAAGTCGGCTATTCAAGTCAGACAGCATTACCTCCACACCCTACCGATACAGCAGACTTCTCAATCAACAGTTAGTTCAATAAAAGTTACATGTTTATGAATGTTAACCAACCAAAATAAACACTGAAACCAAGTGAAAAAAATTTCAAATACTCTAGGAAATAAACATTTCCGAATTCATATAAAATAAGGGAAAAGAGGATAGGATAAATTTTTACAAATGTTTCAGCATAAAAAGCATCTCATCTACCTTTAACAAATTTCGTTTTGTTCGTTAGTGGATTGACTGGTGTAATTTGATGAACAATAGCTTCCCATTCCAGTTGGAATTCACCGAGTGCACGTAATAGTTGACTAGAATTTTGATCTATTTCCTGATTAGAAATTAGATTTGTAGTAGCTGTAAAATCCAGTGCATTTGATGGCGATGACGATGATGATGACAACGATGGAAGGGTTTGACATTTATCACGTACAGCAGATAATATGGAGTTAACAACTTTATTTTTTCTCCTTTCATAATGTTGAATTTCATTTGTGAGAATCTAAAAAAAGCAGATGATAATGGAAAGATAACTAAAAAGGTTATTCAGAAGATTAAATCAATTTTATCTTGGATGATGTTGGCAGGTGAAATAACACAACAACATACTACTGAATCTTATAAGAGTTAATTTCACAAATAAACATTAAAATTTATGTCTATATTTGGGAAGTGTATTATGTATTATGACCAGCATGGATACCTGGTTCCTAAATGGTAGGTCACGGTTTCAAGACGTCCTTCACTTATCTCGAACTCAGTAAAAGTGTATTATAATAAATCAACACATAAAGAGTGGCTTTTGGTCCTTAACGTCATTACAAAGTAAACACTTTGGGTTACTACAACATTTAACTTCCAACTAGAGGTTTTAGTTTTTAAAAAAAATAATGAAAATTAAACTTATACGTATATATATATATATATATATATATATATATATATATATATATGATTATAGCTTGATTCCACACCGTATTATTACTACAAGTATGAAATTTTCATCATGTGATATCAGAAGCCTAAATATTGCAGGTCAACCATAGATATTAGGTGTGAGTCGGTAAGTGATCGAACCCCAGACCATCTGTATGGCTGGTGAGAGTCATAACCTCTATGCCACCGACACAGAGCGATTAACTCTTGACAAAAAGTGACCTGTTCAAAGATGAATCTCGTGAAAGTATTGAAAATCAGTAGATGGTTGACGATGACTTTAGCATGAGCACAATACTATTTAGAAAAATCTATTTTGTGAGTATTTGCAATAATAAAATCAAAACCTCCAAACAAAATTATCTTTTGCATCATTATCATCTTGTGATAACAGCCACATTTTGGTAGTGATCAGGTGCGATCTTGTTCACTGACCAGTTACTGTATAATAAATAAAAAACCTCATGTTATCTAATCCGCAAAAACCAATTTTATTAATGCACGAGTATTACTTTTCAATCGATCAAGTCAAGGAAAAATGGAGATATATAAATAACATGATAAAGATGGTGGAGATTTGAGGAAAAAATAAAATAAAAATTAAGAGTGATAGATAAAATACCATGAACAACATATGTTAGCATTATTAAAGTGGTTGGCTGTATGCTTTAAATTTTTAATTTTTAATCTGAATAGTCGACGGTGATAGCAGAAGCGAATCGAAGTATCTGGAAAAAGTTGATAACTGTATCAAGGTAAGTGGAATCGCAAACGGGGCGCCCCTCCTAGATTCTGCTGTTATCCATGACCAAACAAGTGCAATCTTCACAAGTGAAACTGTTTCTTAAGGAAAGACTAACTCCAGGAATTCGTTGAGTGGAAATGTTTGTATTATGCAGTTCTTTTAAATAGAACACAATAATGATATGTAACCTAACATAGTGTCCAGTCACCATATGTAGGTTTATGAGCTGAACAAAATTTTAAAGCTGTTTACTGACTGCTGTTGTTGCACCTAAATACCAGTGAATAAAACTCAAATCTATTACCTACTGAATAAAATTCAAGTATGTTAAGAGCTGATAAGTACTTATATGAATTAAAAGTGGAATATAAGAAGCTGTGTTTTGGTTAGCACATTCGAATTTCCTACTGTACAAAGCAAAATCTGTTCAATTTAGTATCACATTAGTCCATTTCGAAATCTTTCAACTAAGTGACAAAACTTTCATTCAGCAGAGTCCCTACTCAATGAAAGCTGTGAAGTGATTGGGTAGTGAAATATTGAAAGCAGAAAAGAAAAGTAAATGCTCTTAACAGTGGTCACGCGATCCAGCAGAATGGATTGTACGATTTCCCGCTGTCTGCAATTGCAACAAAAAGTGGCCAAGGAGCTTCAACAAAATGACAACTAGAATACTACTAGTCGGGTGATCAAAAGAAGAACAATAAAATCTCAAGTTAATTTGGAAGCAGCAAGCAATGTTGCGAAATATTCAATAGGTTTTTCAGTAAACCACATTTTGCATAATACCATCTGGATGATTGGATGTTTTCTTCAAAAATTCTCTTCCCTGATAATTTTTAATCTACTGATTTGAAAAGACGAGAACAAAAGCAAGCTACAAAAGCAATTACAGTTTATACAAGACACCTAATTAGCCTAAATCTTCTTGTTTGTTCACCAGTGTATATTTTAAGTACTTCCTGGAAGCTTTTAGGATTATTAATTTTAGGGCGGGGGAAATGAGGAACAGGATTTAAATGTATTCCTGCGGACACACAGGACTTTCTATAGAAACTTACTGTTTCTGAATATTTCCGAAAATTCTCAGGCTCTCCGGATTGTGATCGTTGGCGTATATTATGCAGCAAATGACTCAAATCCTTCAACAGACTAATGCATGACTGAAGTGAATTATCAACCGGTGCTGAATTATCCATAGTAGACGAATCATGCTGAAAAAAAGGGATCAAAACTTTCCCAGGCATAATACCTTGCAGTGCTCCATAAAGTCATCATTCATCAGGAATTCATAATTATCTCCAGAGAATTCCCATAAGTATTTGTCATTTGTACAGTCAGAACTGTTGCTGGAACTGGATGAATCCAAGTCTCTCTACAAAATATATAGTAAAAGGATTGGACGCTTACTCGTCTTCGTTTAGACATGTACACTCTTTGGGACATTGATCAGCAAACAATTTCCATTATGCCATCAATCATCACTTAACAGAAACCTGGGCACACAAACACACGACTTCACGACTTTAGAAAGCTTTAACAAAAATACCGGGTGACCCCGAAGTGTTTATTGTAACGCATTAAAAAAAATATGTTTACAGATTGAATATTTAAAGTGTGGAAATACAATAGCTAAATAAACATTTGGTGTACTACATTCGGAAAATGGTTGACTAAAATTACTTCTTTATTTGATTTTGCAGTAATTAAGCTGAAGGATGTGTCACACTGAACCTGCATGTCTCCAATAAATTGCTACTGTTTTCATTGAAATATAAGGAATCTTAATTTGCAAAAAGCACAGAAATTCACTGTTTTTAAGTTTTTCCTATAAGGCTGGCGTGATGCGTCAATTTAAATTAGGACTCTAAATTCCACTGAACTCCCTAATTGTATACAAGTAAGAAAGTCTGAAGTTAATTTGACTCAGACTTAAGCATCAAGTTATTTCCGTAAGTACTCCCTGACTGTGATGGTAGAAAACTGGTGACACATGTGGAGCTTGATATCGGAGTTCAACGCCTCTGCACCAAGAGAGGAGTTTCCTCGATTCGGCTGCGGAATTTCCGTATTCGTAATTCCAAGCCCCCAATAGAGCTTTGCTTGCGAAAATTATCGATACCGCTTACATACATAGCCAAATTGTTGCCTGTCGTTTAGTATACACCCACGAGACAGTCAACGTCACCAAATTTCTTTATTAGCTAGCCATTCTAAAGTGGACATAGCAATGCGATCAGGCAAGGTAATACAATCGTTAAACTAGTGAACAGTATCGTTTATAAGAGATTTATTCATTGCGATAAGATTTTTTTCCAAAACAACAAAGAACTAGCAACAGTTACTCCCGTCTAATTTTACCTCTCGTGGCAGTTCCAAGCTGGGAAAAGCAACATGTCTCGATGTTCATGTAAAGATGGTTCTAGACGAAGGTTAGTTCTTTCATAAAAGTTCCAGCGTTTAAAATTTTCTTTCAGGAAAAAGATGAAGCACTTGTTGAGCGAAGCCCTGTGCTTGCAGAAACTGTTTATGACTGATGTGTCTTACAAGAGTTTATCAAATTCGTCTTGCCTTTGCTTAATGGATCAATGCGGACGAAATTAGGTCATCTCATTTTATGTCTGCGAGTGGTTTTGACTCCTGAAGGATTTCGCTTACTGTTATTGACATGCCAATCTTTAAAAGTGCGGCGATATTAGAATAGTGGTATGAGTAGCAGCCACTGTGTGTCAGTACTAGGACGTGGTCCTGAACACTGGTTGTAATTATTTGTGTGATTATTTGGCAAATAAATTCACTCAGCAATAGTTGTTTGAAGGTCTGTCCATAGGATTTAACACACCGCACTTCATTTCAGATATGCAGTCAAGGGATTGAGTTTTAGTCCGATGTAACAATAACTCTAAATTTTCGTACCATTAGAGATTATTACGAGGGGTTCAAAGACAAGAAACTGAGAGTTTTAAAACGCCTTGGAACCTCTTCATCAGGTAGTAACTAGACTGATTTAACCTATTCACACTGGCAGACTGATGCTCTCCATATTGTGAAATGATCTCAGTGCTCATCGATTTGCCTTACTTGCTTCATTCTACATGTGTTCAGCACAAGGGTATCATTACGGTCACATCATACCTTCAGAATACTGAAGGAACCCACATGGCCTTGCATGCTTACTGTCTCCACTTTTGATAAATAATAGCTTCCGGGATCTTTCCATCGCCCCTCCCATACACCTGCACATGGTGGCAAATTCCTTTTTGATAAGGTCGTAAGAAGAAAATTTAAGGTGCTATTGAAACTTTTGAAGCTACAAAAAATTTTCCCTTTCGACAACTTCATCTTCACCCCTGTAAAACTGTACTTAAATATATATATATATATACAACAATTAGTTTCCCCACGTGAGTAAATAAATAAATAAATTTATTCTCATACTACAGTACATGAGGGACGCCGGTTTACAGGCATCATCAAATTGTTACAGAAATAGGACCATATTATTCAGTCACAATTTACAGTCGATAGCAAAATATGTTTTAAATGTACGCTGGAGATTATACATACACTTGATAAATGTTAATCCCAATAGTATAAAACATCCTTTTCACTTATGTACAATCATTTCCGTGCACAGTTGGAAAATTCTGCTAGATTGTCAGTGAGTGCAACACATCAGGAAATTCAGAAGTATTGTCTTCGCATTAACAAAAACACCAGGTCTTTGGTGGATGGGTTATAAGTGCCTGGGAAAAAAAATAAAGCTTGAAGTCAATTTTCGTACATAATTTTGTTGCGTACAGAATCTTTGAATAATAGTTCATTGATGTGTCATTTTGAAATCAGAGATATGTTTATCTCATTTGATCTGCAGTGTCATTGTTGCGAGTAAAATACATAAGCTTTAGACACATTAATTAATGGGTTTCTACTGCTTGTGGGTATTTTCTTCTTTTCGTGAGGAAGGTTTTTGAATTTCAGTTGTTCTGACAAGAGTTGTAAAAATTAACTGCTCAGCAACATTACGGATATAAGTACATCACATTATTTTAGGAAAGTTGGGTTGTAGTTGGCGAGGCATATATGATGTCCGACGAGCGTACATCTGTCCATGTGATGCTGCGGTGAGTTCTAACTTCTTCATGTTGTCGGTTTATGTCCATTTTATTCCATTTATTGTGTTGGGTAGAAGTTATACAAACGAAATTTCTTCTCTGCTTGAGAGTAAGTATCTTAATCGTTAATGTCTCATCTAAAATCATAAAAAGAGGCAAAAAAAAACAGGTGAAGTATTTAAGGTAATATATTAGATGGACCTAAAATTTCAGAGGCTCTCAGGTAGGAACTAGGACAAATATTGTCAATGTAGTTGAAGATTGAACGATCAATTCATGGTTGTTTGCTCAAAACCAACTTCCCCAATTTTCGCGGAGGCATCAATACGACAGTCATCGTCTCATCGGTCGCTGTTCAGAAAGAAGTCAGGCCGAAACTGTCAGAATTCATTGTATTCATAAATGATATTGTCTCTATGATCAAGTATGACAAGCCATACCTCTTTGCAGATGACCTCAAAGTTGTCTATGATTTTGACTATAATGATATGAATATTGTTAGTAAAATCCAAGAAGACCTAAATAGTCTATGTAATTGGAGTGAAAAGTGGCAGTTAACGTTCAATCCAGCTAAGTCTGGGATAACATACTTCGGACGTTGGAAACCTAGCATGTGTCTATACATGTACGGTGACCTTGTCTCAAACACAAACACAGTCACAGATCTCGGGATAACATACTCAGATCTTACCTTTACTGAACATGCAAATAAGGTGGTATCTGATTGTAAACGTCTAACCGGCTTTGTGCTACGCAACTTTTACACTCCAGAAGCCAGATTAGCCGTATATAAGATATGCATTCGCCCCAAACTTGAATACTGTGCCCACTTATACAGTAGCTTCAAGTCGGCAGACAGAAAAAAGGTTGAAAGTGTCCAAAGATTCCTTACGAAACGCATATTAGGCTATGGTCAGCAAATAGAATACCTTGACAGATGTATTCGACTGGACTTAGAGCCCTTATGGTTAAGGAGAGTGAAGTGCAATTTATTTCTCTTATTCAAAGTTATAAGAAAGCACTGTAACAGTAACTCGTCCATAACCTGGGCTAATCCTAAATCGTATGGACTACGCAACCATAACTACCTTCTCAAGCCTAACACCCATAAACTCACCACTAGAGCTAACTTCTTCACCATTAAATATTGCAAACTTTGGAACCAACTACCCTCTGAGATAAGATCCTGTAAAAGGCCTGACAGTTTCAAAAGGAGCCTAGAAAAACATATTAACATGTCCACCCTAGCCCGCCTCAAAGATCTCAACTGCTGGTAGAGTGGAGAGACAATGGCTTTTCAATATTTAACTACGGAAAGTACACTAGTCCCAATACCAATATAATAACGCTTAGTAATTATGTAGGTTCAATACTTGAAATTCGATTGTCATTAAAATACTTAAAATGATTAAAATAGCTATGCGGCAAGTGTTCTCTTGCTTTACCATGCTTGTTACCCTTATAACACTCAGTTATTGAGCCTAATGTATTCTTTGATAATACGAATTATGACACTGACTATGCTCTTATTATACATAGATTGATTTACTTTACGACTACCTGTAGTACTAACTACCCTTCTGTAGTATTGTTAAACAAATGCTGAAATTTTGTTGGTTCTGTTAATATCTTTTTATAATATGTTTAGACACGTTACTTTGCAATGTCAGATGTCTACTATATACAAGACTGTCATGATAATTTAGTACACTAAGTCCTGCCAACCGACCTTACCTTCAGTTCATACTACCTACATTGATCCCTAACTATATTGTTCTGCTGAATCTTGCTTCACTATTCACAAAACCTATTCTTTTTATTCTTTAAGGTTCTAACTTCTTGTAAAGTAATCCGTTCATTAGGACGCATGCATACGTATATAATGTTCATAAAGATGTACGTGGAGACCTATTGGAAGCACTCATTAAGAAAGCTAGGGAGATGGTATGTGAGGTACGAGCATGTCTGGTACCAAGCAATATATTTGCGGTAGCCATAATAATCATAGTCTCAGAGCTTAACATCAAAAAAGGAGGGAGGGTGGCGTTAGCTGATCAGTAGATATGGTGGGGGTCACTAAGGTGAATCGCCCCATTCTGCAGGAACAGCAATACACAAATTAAAGGCTCGAGATATTTCTGATTTTTATGAGGGCTTAGATCTTTATCTTGAAAAAGATAATAATGAACGCCTTGACAGATCATGCTTCTACCTCTAAATATATACTATTCGCCCAGCCTATTGTTGAGATGCGACCATGTGGGATGTGCACAGTTTTATGGGGCATCTTATAAATTAACTTGCTGTCCATTGACTGATCTTTAAATACCA